GGATGACCTTGGGCAAGCCATAGTTCTGTCAGGGCTGGCCTTTAAAAGGCAGTTTCTGTCAGAGCTCTCTCAGCCCCACCTACCTCAGAGGGTGTCTGGTTGTGGGGAGGGGAAGGGAAAGGAATTTGTAAGCTGCTCTGAGACTCCGAGTGAAGGGCGGGGTATAAATCCAATCTCCTCTTCTCTTCTCTTTTCTCCTGGCAGAGCATTCAGGCCTTGAGCATTCTACTTCCCGAAGTGGCTCAGTAAGAAGTTCAAGTGGCCTGAACACAAGGCCCCCAAAGGGCAGAAATGCGTCAGGTCATGTGTCTTGGCCCTTGTGTTCAGGCCACTTGAACATCTTAACGAGGCTTTCATTGGGCCCTTCTATGTTTAAATGTCTTTCACGCATTTTTGTATATTATAAGTTTCAACTGGGTTTTTAATACTGGCCCTTTATCAGACTTCTTCCTCACCCTTGTGGTTCTTGGTTCCATTTTTTGGGTCAAGTTTGTTTTCCCCTCCCTGTGTCTTACTGTGGTTCAGTGAAGTCACAGTTCTGTCACATGATTCTGTTGCTTGTATAAACCGGCCCCGAGATCAGGGTGGGGTAGGCTTGCCAAGTCCCCCCGGGGGGCTGGGAAAACCCCGCCCCAGAGGCCCGGTCCCCGCCGCCACTGGATCCGGCCCCGCGGGGAAAGAGGCTGGCAACCCTAGTGGGTAGGGTTGCTAACTCAGGCCTGAGAAATTCCTGGAGATTTGGGGGCAATCCCTGTGGAGGGGGAAACTCTATGTTTTCCCCTCAGATGGTCGTGGCCCCGCCCCCAGCGTGCCCGGCAGCGTCACGTCACTTCCTGGTGACGTGGATGCGGCACACGCGCGCTCTGTGATCGGCCCGGGAGTCCCCCGCTGTGGAGGAAGGTAACACTTGGCAACCCTAGGGTGGGAAAGGAGAAGAGGAGGCCAAATGGCCAAGGAAGCACCGCATCAATGAACCCACGGCTGTGACAGTGTGGCAGGAGATCTAGGGTGAGTCTCAGCGAGTGAGAAAAAACCCTAACCCAGGCTGACTTCTCGGCCTACCAGCCTCTGGCAAGACCACTGCACAGACAGTGGGGCAGTGATGCTCTGCACTCTTGGTGCTTGGAGGGCAACAGTGGGAGGGCTTCTGGAGTTCTGGCCCCACTGGTGGACCTCTGAGGGCACCTGGGTTTTGGCCACTGAGTGACACAACGTGTGGGACTGGATGGGTCATTGGCCTGATCCAACATGGCTTCTCTTATGTTCTTATGAATGGAGGTAAGATGGTTTATGCACACCCTTATCTTCCAGCAGCCCCTGTCCATCACAGCCTGGAGTAGGCAAAAAAAAAGAAAAAAAGAGGGCATCTTCACATGCTGTCTTCCAGGCCCTTTGGAGAAAGCGTGACAAGCCCCACATAGCTTCTCATGCTCTATGGCCTCTAGCGAGTTAAGGGTTGCCAGCCCCCCGGTGGAGGAGGGGGTCCCCTGCCACCAGGCATCGGCCCCCTGCTGCCAATCAGCTGGCTGGCAGGGTGACTTACCAGGAGAAAGAAGAAGGACCAGGCCATGTCCCCAGCATCACACAGGAAGTGACATCATCACATGAGCAATATCTGGGAAACACTCTGATATTTGGGCGAAAACTCTGTGGTAGATACTGTTTTTAACATAGGGTTTTTGCTCAAATACCAGAGCGTCTCCTGGATGTCACGGTGTGATGACATCATTTCCTGTGTGATGTAAGCAACATTGCTTGGACCTTCCTCTTTTTCCTGGGAAGTCCCACCCCAGCTTGGTGTAGTGTAGAGAGCCAGCTTGGTGCGGTGGTTAAGAAAGGCGGACTCCAATTCAGAGAACCAGGTTTGATTCCACACTCCTCCACATGTAGCCATCTGTGTGACCTTGGGTCAGTCACAGTTCTCTCAGAGCTGTTGTCTCAAGAGCAGTACTCTCAGAGCAGGGGACACAGTTATAGATTTATTCCAAAAGGGCCTCAGCTGAGAAAAGTGAAGCTATTGTTTGAAATAGGAAATGAAATTTAACATATGGAAGTCTCAAACTGATATGCCTTTTTAAATGGACATGCTTCATTTTAAATAATTTCCGTTACCGGGATAGCCATTCTCAGCTGCTACAGGTTCGCAATACATTACCTCTAAGTACTTACTGGGGTAAATGATGCCGCACAGCTCAGTGAAACAAACAAGCAAACGGTGGGGAGGGGCTGTGGCTCAATGGAAGAGCCTCTGCACGGCATGCAGGAAGTCCCAGGCTCCATCCCTGGCATCTCCCATTAAAAAGCATCAGGGAGGAGGCGATGGGAAAGGCCTCTGCCTGAGACCCTGGAGAGCCGCTGCCAGTCTGAGTAGACAGAACTGACCTTGATGTACCCAGGGTCTGACTCAGTACAGGGCAGCTTCATGTGTGTCCATGTACACATAACCAAGGGTGTAGACTTTCCAATTTCCCGGGGGGGGGGGGCTGGGGCTGGGCCAGAGGCATTGCTGTGCTAGGAGCAAGGGTGGCTCCCGGGGGAGGCTGAGCACCTTCCTGAAAATTTCGGCGGGGGCTGAAGCCCCGCCGCCCCCACGAAGATTACGCCTATGCACATAACCATCGACACTTTTTTCAGGGTTGAACTAAACATCAGAGGGCTTCTCTATGGATTTGTGTGTGTTGGATCAGCCACACCAGAGGTCATTTCGGGGGGGATTGCGGGGGATCGCAGTTCCCCCGGGTGAGGTATGGGGGGTGAGGCACATGACGAAGCCCCGCCCCCTGCTTCCGCCCGCCCCGCTTCCAGCCCTCATTCAGCCAGGAGGAGGCAGGAGAAGAGGGAGGGTAAGTTGCTTCCTCCCTGCCTCTCCCCACCCCTGCCTGCCTGGGGCCAGGGAGGGCCTTCGCGGGGCTTCCTT